GGCCATTTCTGTTGTAATGAATGTCGCGCCCCGACCTTCAGTTGGGCGTTCGCGTGTCTGCTTTGCTTTTTCACAAAGATTATTTTTAAATTGACTATTGACATTTCTATGTGTAAAATAATATTACAAGTGGAATACTTTATAAAATTATAATCTATCAAATGTTAAAATTTTTCAAAAGAATAGCTTATTTCATCCCGAGATGATCATAAGACCTTTATTTTGCTTTAAAGATACAAAAAATACAGGTTAATTAATATTTAACTTTTTGAAACAAAAGAAGTTAATCTTTAACCTTTTTGTTAACCGTAACTGAAAAAAATTAACCGATAGCAGTAAAAGAGCCAAAATTTTAGCCGATAACCGTAAAAGCCACCACCCCATTGGGACCCTCGGTATACAATAAAGAAAGAATATCGTCTACCTTTTTCGAAGTGTTTTCGCATTAAAAATGCTCTTTTAACCAAGCAAGGCTCATTGTTCCTAGGCACAAGCCCTAGGTTTCAATTCCCAGCATGGAAAACAATTTTTCGGTTCCGTCCCAGCGGTCATGGAAAACCATCAGTAACATTTTTTGGACTCCGTGAAAATTCATGGGAACCCGTGCATCTCCTAAATGTTTTTAAATTTCAAAGTCATAGGTTTTTTTCTTGGCACTGGACAGATGACTGGAAGCCATAAGCCAGTAACGTATGATGCTTTTTTGGAATAATTCAAGATCGATGGAACTGATAGATGCTAAACATTTTAGTTTCATATATGAGTAGTAACTACGTAAAGAATTTCCCTACTAGTTAAGTATATCTTTGTGGAAAAATAATGTATTTCTGTAAATGGATCCCTAAGGCTGAAAATAGCACTGAAAATATTTTTTGGTTTCGTTATTTTAAGACCACGGTAACAACACGGCCTGAAGGCAGCAAACAGTTAGAACTCGGAACTGGTACAATGTACAATGTCTTTTCTGCGGAAGATGAGCCTGGTTTTGTAAGCCATATATTAGGGCTTCTTCACATGAGCCCGGTTTCCGAGCCTTACCTGAGTTGCTTTGTAAAATTTTTGATGATATCTTTATATGAGAGGGTGGGTTGGCTCGGTTCCCGAGATCTCGGTTTTTCCAACCGAGGTCTTCAGTAAGCAGGCTGGAAATTTCGCCATATGAACACTTCAGCCCGGTTACCGGATGAAAGCGGGATAAACTCTGGCGGCCCGGATGGCATCGTCTTGCATTGCCTGCTGTATTTTTCACATCATAAGCATCCAACTCTAAGAGTTGCCAAAGCTATGATGGGCGCAAAAGTTATAATTTGTGTGTTTCGGCCAGTTGTGTGCTTTCTTTCTCGAGTTCGTCCCCCGAATCGTCGACCTTTTCTTCATCTCGGAAACCAGGCTGACATTTCTCATATGAATCCAAGGCGAGATTGGTCCCGGTAACCGGCCAGCCCGGTTAACCAGCGGTTCATGTGAACAGGCCCTTAGAGAAACCTAGGAAATCCAGTGAAGGTTTTATTTATCGCTTGCATGCTAATTGCTTTGGTAACTACTTAACTACCCTCATCTATAAAACATTCAACAGAGTCGGTCCCGCCTATTTTGGAGCCTCAATGAAACATTGCCTTGCTTGTCGCGTTTTCTCACCGTTTTAAAGCAGGTACCTGCCAAAGAGTCCAAAATTTGCTCTTTAATTCATGATGGGTATCCTTTCGCTCAAAAATGAACACAACCACCGATATCGCAAAGTCAATGATTGTTTTTCAAGAAAATAAATTAGTTGTGTGAGAGAGGTACTTAGTGACTTCCATCATGAAGCGACGTTCTCAAAAAGAAAACGGCACACTTACATCTTCGCAACATAGTTGAGATAGTGATGGAAACAACCACCATTGTGTCTATTAAATAAACAGGTTTAACACTTCTTACAAATAGAATGCGCTATTCGTCGTTGCGAATATAAACGACAAGAAAAGCCAAACTAAAAGATAAAAAAGAGCTATTTAAAAAAAACCTTCGAAGCCACAGAAAATATAAATTTAAATTTTTGCATATAAGAATCATTTGACGCAAGGGGAATCTGATTCGCGTCAAACTCTTTTCCAAAGTTTCCTCTGGCAAACTATGGTGTTAAATCTCTCGGTGAATTTTTAACGTCTAACGTGGCTTACCGCTCTTTTTTCCCTGAAGTCGATCCCTATCGTGGGTACAAACCGCGGGTTAAATTGTCCATCTGTGTACTGATATAAGAGACTTGTTTTTCCTACTCCCGAGTCTCCAAGCGCTAAAAATTTGATCAAATACTCTCTGTCTTGATCCTTTTCTTGAGACATTGCATATCAAGCTTTTTTTCTTTCGTTTTAAATCATTAAAAAGGTTGACAGAAGCAATTTGAGGTCCCTTTTGCAAAAATACACATCTTAAAATTGCTAAGCATCAGTGCCAAGATTTCTTGGCCGGGCAAAATGACATCATAGTATTTAACTACTAAACATAGAAAGTGACTTTCAGAATAGTCTCATTTCAATATTAGCACGTGTATAAATATAGTATTGAGGGCTCCCAACTCTAAGCAGAACATTAATTAGAAAAAGCACCTTAGAGTGGCAGTTATTTTTTGTACATCTTATGTACGAAAAAGTAGAGCATTCGGTTTTATTTCCTAAAAATATCTTTTTCTTCTTTGCTTATTAGCATAAGGTTCTTCACATCTAAACTGGTTCTTAGATAAGTTAGAAGGAGAAAGCAATGCAGGAATCAATGATCATATCAAGTGAAAAGGGAAGAGGCCATTGGCAGCCAGAGTGAAAATATTTTTGCTAAAAAAAAAGATAAAAACCATTTCAGGAACTTACTAATATATATATTTACTTTTTAAGAGAAGGAGCTTTTACCTGCCATTACACTCACTTCTTGTCTGATCTCTCGTAAAGGGTTTGTATACTCTTTTAAGCTCTTCAAATTCCACGACTTTCCGTGACATTTTCAATGACCTTTCCAAGGTTTTCATGAACTTAGGCTAAGCTGTCACTTTCAAATATTTTCAAAACTTTTTTTTGTTTTAGAGCACTTTTTAACATACTCAATTCAACCGAAACAAACATTAGTGTCCACCAAAATGGGTGCCATTTTTAAATTACTTGTCTCTATCTTATTCACTTTCATCTTGCTTTGACATCTGCAGTAACAATCTAACAAATATAACCTTAATTTTGCACGACCTTTAAGGTCCTACAATCAAATTCCATGATTTAACAGGCCTGGATAATGAAATTCTTAAATTTCAGGACTTTCCAGGTTTTCCATGACCTGTACAAACCCTACTTGCACAGATTTGCCTCTTCTTTAGACACCTTACCAAGCCATTAAATCCTTGGTTTGTTCAACTCCCTTAATGTAAATTTTCCTCACAACTATGAGCTCTAAATCAATTTCTCATTACCAAATTTTAATCATGTATTAACTGTTACAGTGGAAGCTCTCTTGAGTGACACCCTCGGGGCACAAAAAAGGTGTTCATAATTGAAGCTGGCCAATTAAGGGAATGTAAAAAGACAGAGTTTGTATGGGGGTCGAGAAAAACGGGCATTTGTGAAAGTGGCCATATGTAGAGCTGTCCCCTTACAAGAGTGTCTGTTAGGAATGCTTCCACCTTATAAAGTTTCTTCAGAGTAAAAAATCCATATTATTTCATTTCTTTTAGGCATAATTTCACAAGAAGGTTGACAAAAGAAACATCACCATTAGAAACATCACCAAACGATGTATTAGTGGATTTTTAGCTACAGTGACACTATTTTATGTCTAGACTGGAGAAACAGCTGTATTTATTGATCTTGCTGCTTGTCATCTGTTCTAGTCCAAAACTTTGTGGTAGTTTTATACCAAAGTTTTTGCATTACAAGCCATTTCACTTCAATGCTGACTAAGAGTGGAAAAGTTGTTACGTCACATTGCCTGGTAGCAAAGTTTCTGGATGACAAAAAACTGAAAACATCACTTTAAAAGTGAATTTGCTTTGTTTCAAACTTCATAGATCTTATTCAATTTCATTTAATCTGTGAAATGTTGGCAAAATTTTCTGTGGTTGAAATTATCCGAAAGTATCTAGTAAGTATAGAAAAAGAAAATTTTTGTGCTATGTTCATGTAGTCCAAGAAGTGGGCACATAAAATTAGGAAGTTTCATGCCGCAGTCTCAGCACAGTCATGAAACAACGGGAAAAAAAAGTACAAAAAAGTGTGATGCAGGTGCAAAGTTGTTGTTTTGCCAACCTAACCCAATGCGTTTTTGCCATTCTTGTTGCCATCGCTGCCATCGTTGCTTAAGCTCTCAATATTGTTGTGATCCAGAAGTTTTGCTAAAATGGTTACTTGGCGTCACAATTCTCCTCTTTTTGCTCTAAAATTGAATTAAGATGAAAAATCTTAGCCTTTCCTTTGTCATTTTTTTAACATCCACAGGACCTCTTGTGTCTTATTGCTCACTCAGCTGCTTCAAAGCCTAAAAAATCTCACCCTGCTCGTTCTACTGCAATTTTGCTGTGAAACTCGAGACGTCAGCTTGAGGCAAGTCTAGCCTAGTCTGTTCATCACATTGGTCATGTGAGGATATTACTGTACACATCAAATTCAAAATGCAGTGAAGTGAATGCAGCGTAACAACAAGTGACATTTTTTCCATGTCAGTAGGTATAGAAGATATTATATGGCTGCGCAGAGATACGAAATTTCTCTTTGAGGGTTGCAAAATATTTCATGAGTAAGCGATGGGAACAAGTGAAATATTTTTCAACATGAGAAGAGCATTTTGTTCTATTTAGTACATAAACACCAATGAAATACCAAACCATTTCACCTAAAAATATTTTTCATCTAGCCAATTAAGCAACAATGATCTTTCTGCATATGAAGATAACATGTTATTTTCTCGTGTGAGGATATCATGTTTTTGCAAAAAGCTCTGCTGGTATTTCATTGGTGTCTATATAATAAATTAATATCTGTTGTTTAAAAGCTCTCATCCATAGCTTTTTCCTTGTCCATTTTCTTTTTCTTAAACAGTTTACTGTCAGGATTGTTTTCAGGGTTGCGACAGCCTTTTAATTTCAGCTCTAGACTTTTCACTTGTTCTTTACTCGGTGAAGATTTAACTTTAGAGGTCACCATGGTGACTAACTGTTGAATTTGACTCAGAACATGCTTTTGATGTTCTCCAAGATTCTCCCCGATGTAAGAGCCTATAACTCCTTTTGATGCACTGAAGAGTGCCGCTAAGGCAATCTGAGATGGCGAGAAAAGTAATGAAACATCGGTCAACAGCGCTTTGCGAAGGAATTCTTCTGCAGAAGAACGCCATTTTTCTGGGTCTCCTAACTTAGGGCATCTTGTTTTAAGATCAATGATAAATCCCTCCATGGGTCTGTACGGGTTGTGTACTGTCAAATGGAAGTTCAGACATTGCATAAGTAGTAGCTCATGAGCTAGGATAAAGTCTTTGGTCTTCTCTCTTCGATCAGGTGGTAGAATTTCTACAAATTTGTCCACAGACACGTTGTGTTCTTCCACTTTACACGCCATATACAAACACACCAAAAACATCTCCTTGGGAGGGTGATCCATGACCGATGTTTTCAAATAAAAGCGCTTCAGATAAGCTACGGCTGTTGCTGTCACAGCGTTGGGTACAGGAGGCTTAAATTTATCACAAACTTCGATCAAAACTAATTGATAGTACTCAATCAAACTTCTTTCCTCTTCAACAGTGAGAAAGTTGACATCTTTCTTCGTTGAAGGGTTTTCGCGGAACCGTTGACAGTAAGCATTATTTACTTCTTCACGGATACCAGTCAATTCGATTTCATTTGCAAACGTCCAGTGTTTTCGCTGTGTGCTCGAGTGAAACATTCTTAGACTTTCTTCTGATAAAAAACTGCGCGAAATCTTGTCGTTCGCGCGTTTGGCTTTGTAACCTGGCTGAATATAATTCATTCATATAAGCTAAGTTATAATGTCTTTGCCTGTCCTCCTTTCTCTGAAGTTCCTGAAGTTTCCAATAACATCCTGGCTGTACGTACGCTTACACGAAGTATTTACTTCTTGAACGAAGCCTGGTGATGGCATCAGGTCAATCTGTAAGGTCTTTCTTCACTCCTGCAGCTAAAAAATGCAAATACCTTGAACAAACACATCAGATGGCAGATGGAATACGACCAGATCAAGCTAACATGATCAAGGATTCATTGAACCGAGGTTTTTATAGCATGCTTAATTTTGTGTGAACCTGGCTTCACATTTATGTATCGGTCAAATCGAAGTTTGACCCCCCCCACCCCCCACTCCGGGCATTTGACTTTTTTGAAAGTTATCGTTCAAATTCCCCCCTACCCGAGCCAAAATGCCGTTCAAATGCCCCACACTAGGCTCCATTCAGGTGATCAAATGCCCCACCCCGGGGACGTTTAAGAACTTTCCATATTATCCACTCTGTAGAAGCTCTCGAAGCCGAGTCTGCAGACCAGACAGGACCAGACAGGTGACTCACGGGTTGCGATAGACAGTAGAGTTTTTATTCTAATTTATTCTGTAACTGCTCTATAATAAAGAAAACCATTATTAAACGTACATGTGGTTCACGAATCGTTAAACGTAACCTCAATAATCTTGTCCTTAATAGTAAATATTGTGACCATATAAAAATAGCGTTCTGTTGATGCGGATCAACTATTGTGCTCTAAACAAAAGCAACATTTTCCGGAAAAAGTGGTCAGGCTTACATCTCAAAAGAAGCGAATATTAATGCAGCGGCTGCCAAAAATAAGAGGGATGTGTATGGGAAGAACAGTTTAAATCGCTCAGCCACGGCTTTCCATACAAACCCTTTTACTTTTAGAAATTTTCGATGCGTCATTTAATCGAGATTTCAAATATGATATGATTTTAGAGCAAGCAACTATTAAAAGCAAGAGAGACAAGAGCGATGAAGATTAGCAAAGATGAAATCATTGCTGCTTCTTTTTTGCTATTGTTTCTCTTGCTTTCTGCACTGCCTTGGCACGTGTTATTCAAAGCCTGAATCCAACATTAAAAATATTAAAATTTTAACACCTTCAAATACAGCACAAAGCTTGTTTAAAACCTTTCCTCGTAACCAATTGGCCACAAAGGCACAATCTTTTCCACAAAAATCCTCTAACACCATGTCTACTATGATAGCTTGCCACATGCAAAGCGCCCAGAGATTTCACATGAAATTGAGGCTACGGTTTAAATTCCCCACCCCCTGGAAGACTCTGATAATCAAATTCCCCCTCCCCAGGGAGGGCAAAGGTGTCAAATTTGTGGGATATGCCTGAGGGGGGAAATATTGAAGCTTCAATTTGACCAATACAACTTGAAGCTCTGATTTGACCGATGCATTAAGCATAAAACAATGTGCAAAATATTGCATACACATGAGCTTAATTATCACCAAAGCAATAATGGAAGTCAGGAGAACTTGGAACAGCTGGAAAAACCCTTCTAAGTAACTGTTACGTAGAACTCTGCTCCTGAATAATCATTTCTTGATGTGCTTTGGGTTCATCCCTTCATCCCCATTCTTCCCCCAACAATGAGGCCCTGTTGGACTTAAAATTCTGGTGAGCGACAAAGCCTTGAAACAGCAACAGTGACAGAGACAAGTGCAAATACAATAGTAAGATATTGTTAGGGATGTGGCTTCCTCTACTTTTAATATGCCAAACAACAGGTGTTGAAATTAAGCCCCCACCCCCCTAGAGGGATCAGTCATGTTGTGCCCAAAAAGAGACCTATTTGCACCCATTTTCTAGGAAATTTAGCTTTGCTTGGGGTGGGAAAGGGATAGTTACCAGCTTTACTAGTATCATATTATAGGTCCCAACACATGTGTCCTCTAAGGGACTGTGGCTGTTTGTTGTCATGGAAATCTGAGCATTGAACCTTTGTTCATGGAAAGAAGAAAATTGACGTTTAACATTCCAGGAGGAACTGACACCGAACAATTGAATTTCTCAGCTCAGCTCAAAAACATAGGCATCTGATGGACTAGATATGTCTTCATACCCTCACTGAAGCAGCCTCAGTCAACATTTCATTTGAACTTTTATTAGGGGTGGGAGGGTGTCGTGAAGCATTTTAGTAACCCATAGAACCAAACCAATTTCCTAGGGAGATGTGCAAGAGGATTTCTTTTCCAGTAATGTAGTCTTTGACCTTATTTTAGATGCTGATGGAAACATGGCATGGAACAGTCAACACGTAGGACTTGATAATCAGGGATCAGCACAGTATTTCAACAGCATACCAAGAAACATGCCACCAGGACAACATCAGATGCCAGACAATGCATCACTAGGCCAATATCATAACAGTGAGCGACTGGCTGCTGGGTATTCATGGCAACAGCATGAAAGAGAACAGCCTTCTCCTGGATATTTTCAGCAGGAAAATTTGGATAACCAGATTAATCCGGCAGAACAACGTGCTTTGTTCAGCTCTCCTAGTGAGCGACTGGCTGCTGGGTATTCATGGCAACAGCATGAAAGAGAACAGCCTTCTCCTGGATATTTTCAGCAGGAAAATTTGGATAACCAGATTAATCCGGCAGAACAACGTGCTTTGTTCAGCTCTCCATTAGAATTAGGCCGCAGGTGGTACCATTTACACAGAACATGCTATCGCCAGCAAAGAAGCCAAAATTTTGGTTTCACAGTTGTTTCATATAATGTGTTGGCTGATGGCTTACTTAATGCACACAGTGATTTGTATGCTGGAACAGAGCAATGGCTACAACAGTGGCAGTACAGGCGGAGAAATTTACTGAAAGAAATTCTTCATTACAAAGCAGATGTAAGTGATATTACAGTAAAAGTGTTCAATTAGCCTACAAATACAGCCATCTCTCATCAATTCTCATCACCAGGGGTGTTTCATAGAAGTGATACCTGCACCTCAATGACAGAAATGCCATACTGATGATGAAAATCAAGGTTTACATTTTTAATCTAGTAGTTATGGGGTTGTAAATAAAAATGTGTTCGAGTTTATATGTCACCTGGTCTTTTGTGGCAAAGGTTTGAGTTCTTCTGTGAATGAGCTGCAGCAAATCTTATATAACTCTTCTAAAGAAGAATATTTTTCGTAGATAATGACTGTAGATTTATTTGCATTTATATTTGACCTTTGTGTGGTTTTGCCTCTTGTCTGTCATTCGTAAATGATAGCTAAAACAATACAACTATAAAACTACATAGACCAATCAGAGCTCCTGACCAGATTCTGGACAGATTATATTTTTACGTCATCAGTATCGAATTTCTGTTGTTGAGTTGCAGACATCTCTCCTGCAAAACATCCCTACCTGCAAGGAGCGAAGAAAGATGGCTGTAATTTACAGGCTAACCTTAAATAGATGGTTGTCTGATTGCTCAACTGACTGGTAGTGTTACCCTAGTAACGGCTTAATCTTCCCCTTAAAATAGGGTAAGGTTAATTGCGCCATCTTATCTGGAAACAAGGTATAGAACTGGATAGGGTGTTTAAAGAAAGAGGTGTTTTTATTATAATATTTATCTTTGTGATGAACACTTTAAATGAAGACCTTGTTAAAGGGGGGTGCAAACCAAAGTATTTGAAGGTTAGTTGGGATCATACATCGTACATGCGAAAAGGGTCTGTTATGTCAATAGGTGTGAAATATGTGGGAACCATTTGTTCTCTGCAACAGGGTAACAATTATACCACACACCGCTACCCAAATTTTCCAGGAGAAATGCTTCCCCAAGTGTCATTCAAGTACTCTTAATCAGTAGATCAATTTGTTTGCTAAAAAATATCAACAAAAAATAAGTCAACATTTTTTTAATTAAAGTCAGTTAATTTTTGCAAGAATCTTTTTTTTTCCTTCATGGTTGGTGAGATAGTCTTTCTAGGTAAAAGTTAAGGAGCATGCGAGCCAAAGGCCCAAAGGGTTTCCTTAGCATGAAGCATGTCTAGGGGTATTGCTACTCCCCCCTGGACAGGATGCTAGTCCATCCCAGCAGTATGTCGCCGGTATCCATTTAAATGCCTGGGTGAGGAGAGACAAAGTGGAGTACAGTTGCTTGTGTAATGAAGCAATGCCATTGGTGAGACATGAACTCCAGACTTCCAGATCTGGAGTTCGAGGTATTAACCGCTCGGCCACATACGCTTCTACTATAGTCTTTCTAGAGATAACAACATGAAAACTATAGTGAATGTGTAACTTTCATTGTATTTATTTAGATCTCTTGTATTCATAGTAAAACATAGTGGCAATGTTAAAATCTGTGTATTTGTGTTAAACCTTGCAAGGATTATCTTTATTCTGTTTAGATTGTCTGTCTTCAAGAAGTAGAAGAATGCCACTACCAAGATTGGTTTGAACCAAAGCTAAGAGAAAAAGGTAAAAATATTCTTATTATGCTCAGACTTCATGCTACTGTCCACTCCACTCTGTTCCACTCCACTCTTACTCAGTTTGCTTTTACTACTCCATTCCACTCTGCTTAGCCTGTGAGAGCAGACGTCTTTTTCAGCTGTTGTTTTCAAGAGCCAAAAAAGGCATCTGTTCTCACAGGCTACACTCTGATCTGTCTACTTTTTTTGTTCCTGACATTTACAGTGAGTCACTGCAAAGTCATCACTGTGAGTTCTTGGTATTTTTGGCAGAAACTTAAAAAAAAGCAAAAAATGGGCAGTGGCTGTAAGTCCCACTTCCTTTAAGTTCCAAGAGTGACCAACATCAATTTTCTCTTAACATTATCCATACATAATCAAGAGAATAGGCTATGAGAATCAATAAAATGTAGTGAGCGACTGGCTGCTGGGTATTCATGGCAACAGCATGAAAGAGAACAGCCTTCTCCTGGATATTTTCAGCAGGAAAATTTGGATAACCAGATTAATCCGGCAGAACAACGTGCTTTGTTCAGCTCTCCTTTAGAGTTAGGCCGCAGGTGGTACCATTTACACAGAACATGCTATTGCCAGCAAAGAAGTCAAAATTTTGGTTTCACGGTTGTTTCATATAATGTGTTAGCTGATGGCTTACTTAATGCACACAGTGATTTGTATGCTGGAACAGAGCAATGGCTACAACAGTGGGAGTACAGGCGGAGAAATTTACTGAAAGAAATTCTTCATTACAAAGCAGATGTAAGTGATATTACAGTAAAAGTGTTCAATTAGCCTACAAATACAGCCATCTCTCATCAATCCTCACCACCAAGGACATTTCATAGGAGTGACACCGGCGCCTCAATGACAGAAATGCCATATACTGATGATGGAAATCAATGTTTACATTTTTAGCCTGGTAGTCATGGGGTTGTAAAGAAGAATTTGTTCGAGTTTATGTGTCACCTGGTCTTTCGTGTGGCAAAGGTTTGAGTTCTTCTGTTAATGAGCTGCAGCAAATCTTATATAACTCTTCTAAAGAAGAATATAGTTCATAAATAATGACTGTAGATTTATTTGCATTAATATTTGACCTTTGTGTGGTTTTGCCTTTTGTCTGTCATTCGTAAATGATAGCTAAAACAATAAAGCTATGAAACTACATAGACCAATCAGAGCTCCTGACCAGGTTCTGGACAGATTATATTTTTACATCATCAGTATCGAATTTCTGTTGTTGAGTTGCAGACATCTCTCCTGCAAAACGTCCCTACCTGCAAGGAGGGAAGAAAGATGGCTGTTTTTACAGGCTAACCTTAAACAAATGGTTGTCCGATTGCTCTTGAACATGACTGGTAGTGTTACCCTAGTAACCACTTAATCTTCCCCTTAAAATAGGGTAAGGTTTGCACCATCTTATCTGGAACCAAGGTATAGAACTGGATAGAGTGTTTAAAGAAAGGGGTGTTTTTATTATAATAGTTGTCTTTGTGATGAACACTTTAAATGAAGACCTTGTTAAATGGGGGAGCAAACCAAAGCATTTTATGGTTAGTTGGATCATACATCATACATGCGAAAAGGGTCTGTTATGTCAATAGGTCTGAAATAGAGTGGGAACAATATTTTCTCTACAACAGGGTAACAAATATACCACACACCTCTGCCCAAATTTTCCAGAAGAAACCCTTTCCCAGGTGTCATTAAAGTACTCTTAATCAGTAGATCAATTTGTTTGCTAAATATCAACAAAAAATAAGTCTCCATTATTAAATTAAAGACAGTTAATTTTTGTAAGAATCTTTCTTTTTTCCTTTGTGGTTGGTGAGATAGTCTTTCTAGGTAAAAGTTAAGGTGCATACGAGCAAAAAGCCCAAAGGGTTTCCTTAGCATGAAGCATGTCTAGGAGTATTGCTACTCCCCCCTGGATGGGATGCTAGTCCATAGGAGGGTTACCCCTCAGCAGTATGTCACCGGTATGCATTTAAACACCTGGGTGAGGAGGGACAAAGTGGAGTATAGTTCCTTGTGTAATGAAACAATGTGATGGGCGAAACTTGAACTCCAGACTTTCAGATCTGGAGTTGGAGGTGTTAACCACTCGGCCACACGCGCCTCTACTATAGTCTTTCTAGAGATAACAACATGGAAACTATAGCGAATGTGTAACTTTCATTGAATTTATTTAGATCTCTTGTAGTCACAGTAAAACATAGTGGCAATGTTAAAGTCTGTGTAGTTGTGTTAAACTTTGCAAGGATTATTTTTATTCTGTTTAGATTGTCTGTCTTCAAGAAGTAGAAGAAAGCCACTACCAAGATTGGTTTGAACCTAAGCTAAGAGAAAAAGGTAAAAATATTCTCATTATGCTCAGACTTCATGCTACTGTCCACTCCACTCTGTTCCACTCCAGTCTTTCTCAGTTTGCTTTTGCTACTCCATTCCGCTCTGCTTAGCCTGTGAGAGCAGACATCTTTTTCAGCTGTTGTTTTCAAGAGCCAAAAAAGGCATCTGCTCTCGCAGGCTACACTCTGATCTGTCTATTTTTTTTTGTTCCTGACATTTACAGTGAGTCACTGCAAAGTCATCACTGTGAGTTCTTGGTATTTTTGGCAGAAACTTAAAAAAAAGCCAAAAATGGGCAGTGGCTGTAAGTCCCACTTCCTTTAAGTTCCAAGAGTGACCAACATCAATTTTCTCTTAACATTATCCATACATAATCAAGAGAATAGGCTATGAGAATCAATAAAATGGTCACCAAGGGGTCAAATTCTCTCATTAACCCTTTAAGTCCCAAAAGTGACTAATGTCAATTTTCTCCTAACAATATCCATACAATGTCAAGAGATTAGGTTATGAGAATTAATAAAACGATCACCTAAGGGAAAATGCCTTGATCTTTTAACAAATTCTCTCAACTTATTCATGAAGGAAATGTATAGAGATCAGTTTGGAGAATTTGTATGTGGATATTGTGGCTTATCGCTATATGCTGTTTTACAGAGTGCTTGTTATCTATTTTGGGAATTTTTTACTCTTATACAGGTTACAGTGGAGTGTACAAAAAAAGAACTGGTGACAAAACTGATGGATGTGCAACATNGATCACCTAAGGGAAAATGCCTTGATCTTTTATCAAATTCTCTCAACTTATTCATGAAGGAAATGTATAGAGATCAGTTTGGAGAATTTGTATGTGGATATTGTGGCTTATCGCTATATGCTGTTTTACAGAGTGCTTGTTATCTATTTTGGGAATTTTTTACTCTTATACAGGTTACAGTGGAGTGTACAAAAAAAGAACTGGTGACAAAACTGATGGATGTGCAACATTCTTCAAAGCATCCAGGTTTACGTTGGTGAAAACCAAGCTGGTTTCTTTCAGAAAACCGGAAGTCAAACTGATGGACCGTGACAATGTAGCTGTTGTGTTACTTTTAGAGCCGAGGACGGCAGTACGCTCCTCGCATCAGGCAGCCAATTCAGTGTGTGTGTCCAACACTCACTTACTGTTTAACAAGAAAAGGGGAGACATCAAGCTTTCACAACTAGCTTGCTTGTTAGCTGAAATTGCTGAGATAGCAGCCATTTCCACATCTGATCAAGGTGATATTCGTTACCATCCTATCATATGTTGTGGGGACTTTAATAGCGTTCCATTTTCTCCAATTTACGAATTTGTCGTGCGGGGATTGCTGGATTATAAAGGAATGCATCGTGATAATTTTTCAGGGCAGAACCATTTTCGAAACAGTTTTCCACCAAGACAGGCCCTCTCAAGCAATCTTATTCCATGGGAATTGGGAATTACAACGTCTGGCGTCAAAAGAAACGATTCACAAAAAGCAAATCCTGCCGCGAGCTATGAGCCTAGTAATTCAACAAACAGTACGGAAGACAAGATAAAAGGTGGTAACTCAGATTGTGGAAGTACTGGTCAAGAAGCTGTTGGAGACAGTGCTGGGATAAAGAAGACACAAGAGGAAAATCTCAGTTTAACTTCCAGTCAGTGCAGTAAAGGGGAAAATAGCGACATTTACTTAGCATGCTCTAGCACATCTTTACCAAAAAAAGATTCGCAGTCACTCGTTTGCTTGGAGGTTGGAGGTATTTGGCCGGAAGGGGAACTAACTGCCCCTCCTCCTATAGAGAACAAAACGGAGCGAGATTTGTACAATGCATGTACAACCCAGCAACATCCTTTCAACTTCTTCAGTGTCTACAGGCATTACTTCAAAAACCGAAGACCGGAAGTGACTACGTTTCATGATCGAGCATGCACCACTGTTGATTATATGTTCGTATCTCCTGGGCTTCAACGGTCTTGTCGCAGGTGCCGGTCTCGACATGGACCCTTACAACTGACTGGTAAACTGGATCTTCTCTCCGAGGATGCTATTTGGGATCTTGGCGGGCTTCCTAACAAGTTCCTGTCTTCTGATCATCTGTCGTTGGTATCATCATTTTTATTGCACGTTTGAACTCATGAAATTAACTGCAAAATATTATGCAGCTGAGAGAATTTTAGATTTTTATTGTTCGTTGTTAAGGCAGTCAAACATACACTGAGGGGACAAACTGTGTATGGCTGGGAAGGTGTGGGGAAGGGGTACGTGCTGGAGGCGGGAAAAAGAAAAAAGAAAAAAAAACGTTTCCAACGTGGATTTAGAAATGTAGCATGCTGTTGAAAAACAGTCGCTGAACAGTGTTACGGTAGGACCCCGCTAACTCGATCTCGGATAACTCGAACTCCCCGCTAAGTTGGCGAACTAAGTACCTTTTCCCTTGGATTTCACCTTACTTTTCAGTCATTTTTACTCGGATAACTCGACTTCCCTGCTGACTCGAACTGAATTTCGTTTCCCTTGATCAAAATTAACCTCGATAACTCGAATTTTGGTTCTTGCAACTTACCACGAATGTGATCCCATTAGCTCTTCTTGTCGTGTATTCAGAAAAATCTAGAAACACTAAAACTAACACTTCAGCAATTTGTTTTTAATAAGTGAGGGTTATTCCCCTGTATTATCATGAAAAATCATAATAGTGGTACAATTTCTGATGAGATAAGTTTAATTTGCACTCTGCTCTATGCTTAAGTGCTGAAATAACAGTAACCACTCTTAAATGTGGTGTGCCACAGGGAACGATCCTTGGCCCTTTTTTATTTCTAATTTATATTAACGATTTGCCAAACTGTCTTTCGTTCAGCATACCTAGAATGTATGCTGATGACACCCACGTTACTTATGCAGGTTCTGATTTGCATTTGATTCAGTCTAGTCTATCTCACGACCTTGAAAAGCTAAGCAAATGGCTTGTGTCTAACAGACTTACCTTGAACGCTACAAAAATTGAATTTATGTTGATCGGCTCCAGGAAAAGATTAAGTACTCTATCTGATACACTCGAACTTTCCATTGATAATGGTCCGATTGAACAAGTTTCCTCTGTGGAATCACTTGGAATATATATCGATGAAAATTTAACGTGGCATCCCCACATTGATAAACTGTAAAAAGATCGCTTCTGCAATTGGAGCCATAAAGCGAGTTAGGCCTTTTGTGCCTCAATCCACCCTACTGAATATATACAACTCATTAGTTCAATCTCACTTTGATTACTGCAGCCTAGTATGGGGTAATTATGGCAAAGCATTATCTAACAAGCTACAAAAACTACAAAACCGTGCTGCACGAGTAATGAACTTTATCAAACTATGACGTAGATGTCGATTCCTTGTTTCACAAACTCACCTGGAAAGACTTGAAATCTCAACGTCAAATTCAGAACACCTTAATGGTTTTCAAATCTTTAAACAGGCTGGTTCCCGAATATCTCACGTCTAAATTTAGAAAGCGAAATGAATCAAACTATTCTCTGAGGGACTTGTTGTCCCCTTTCCAAGAATTAACTACGTGAAAAATAGTTTTAGTTACAGCGGTGCAACCCTTTGGAACAGGTTGCCCTGTAACATTAGAGTGTCTGGTTCATGAAATCAATTTAAACGCCTTCTCTATCAAAATTTTTAAGCGTTTCATTCATGGAAATCAGGTTTTTAAAGTGGCATATTTGTTGTAAGTTAATATAATGTTAGGGTTAGGATTTTGGGGTTTTAGGATGTTAGTCATTGTATTGGAATTTATTGTACCTCAGGAACTTTTTACCGTGTACAAATAATGATTAAAGATTAAAGACCCCGCTAACTCGATTTCGGATAACTCGAACTTCCCCGATAACTCGAACCTGTTTTTCGTTTCCCTTCAGAGTTCGAGCTACCAGGGCTTCTACTGAATTTCAATTCAGTAAAAATACAAGTTTTGTCTATCAACAATATTCTCGAAATCGCGCGTGATTGCCTGGAAAGGGTCGGAATGTCTTAAGAAAGGGTCGGGGATGGTCGGGACAATGTCGGTTGCTATGACATTAAAACTGCATTTATACGCATAGAATGATCATGAGGGCGTCACTTAATCCACCAACTGTTTGATGTTATATTTAATAGTCAACTCATGTCAAGTCAAGTTATGAGAGCACGCATGCGCCTTACGATAGAACGATATGTACATGTAGCTTGGTTGACAAATGAAAATTTAAGGAGATCCAAATGATTTTTACCCGGCAGGGGCGGCGGCCTGGGCCCCTCGGTACATGTGAAACCAAGATGGCGGCCCGTACCGATTAAAGCACTCGATGCTAACGATCATACGAAAAAATAAGGGACTGTGAACAGTCCAGAAATAAATCAATGTTTACACCGTTACTGTCTAATTTGCTTTCTTACCGCCTTAGATTGAGTGTTGGAAAACGAAATACAGTGGAACCAGGTTAATATCATCCTCGGAGACCCAGGGGCAGTTAGTCGGGTCGATAAAATGTTCGTGGTGAAAGTTTACTGTAAGATCGACTCGATCTTACAGTAAACTTTCACCACGAACATTTTATCGACCCGACTAACTGCCCCTGGGTCTCCGAGGATGGGTTAATATAGACTGTTCACAATCCCCTATTTTTTCCATAAGATCGTCAAGATCGAACGCTTTGCGTTACGGGTTTCTATTGTTTGAATTTTTTTCCGAGTCTAGCCTGGGGATGAGTATGAAATCCTGCATGAAATCAAGATGGCCGCCCGTACCTATTTAAGCGTTCGATCAAAATGATGTTGCGAAAAATAGGGGACTGTGGACAGGGACATGCCCGTATTAAGCTAATCTCCCTCTTTTGGGGGAACGTTCTGTGACATCCAAAAAACGGCTGCGGGGGAGACTAGTTAGGCGGGTTCTTAGAAAACACGTCACGACACATTTATTTTATTGATATCAAGATAATGCAAAGGAATAGTGACTGAAAGCAAAAAACTAAGGAAGTGAGAGTTCTGTAATAGATGGCAGAAAACTTAATTTAATGACCAGAGTAAATCAATAGTCAAACACCGAAAGATAGACGAGCTGATCAAAGTCAAACACGTCACGCCAATTCACTACTGTTTCTTAGTAAAAAAAAAAGAAACGTATTAACTGGTAGAAATGTTTCAGTTTTTGAAAAGGGTACAATGACTAGAATCAGCACGCGGTGAAAATAGACAGTGCGCAGATACCCCGTCAAGCGGGTTTACGATATATGAGGATTTGTGACGCGAGACACAGAAAAGTGTCCGTTGGTCGTATTAACCCGTGTCTGTATTATAGAAAACATACGAGCTTTTCGTCGGGACAAACGAAACCGTCCATTATATGGGGGTATTCGTTAGACTGCAAAACAGTCGGTTTTTTTCTGCTCGCGCGTACTTGAATACGCAAAAATACGAACTGTTTTGGGGTCTAGGTGTCCGTAGAGCAGGGTTCGACTGTATTATATTCCAATGCAAAATTTGATGTAATGTATCAAGCATAAGACGCAGTGTTTCATCACCAGATGAAAAACCTCGAAGTTTGTCAAAAATAATCCGCTGCGCGTAGTATTTTTAACTCTCTTCACGGTGTTTCATGGAGGTATCCAAGTCCAAACTAGCTGTTGAACAATGAAAACGAACTCCCCGAAAACTAAATTAAAAGTTCGAACGAACAGGCGGCGAAACTAAACAAACGACAGTGTACTGAAACGTACATTTATTTATTTATTTTTTTATCTTAGGGTAAAAACTATGTTTGACCCTCCACTAATTTATTTAATTTTAGTTTGATCACTTTCTGCTCAATTCGCTTTGTGCCAGCACATTGTAACAATTTGTTCATTACATAGAACTATATTCTAGTCAGAATGCTTTATCTAAAGCACGTTTTCCGTAGTAATTATCTTAACAATAAATCCCTAAAATCAAATCAATTATAACATTCTAATGTACAAAATATAGTGAAAGATTATCTTCAGTTTTATTGATTATTGAACTATTTTCTCTCATAACATAACTGTTGAAAATCACGTAGGACAGAATACCAAGTTCTACGAATTTGCTTCCAACATAACTATTTAATTACCACTACATAAACATACTGTAAATTCCCTTACTAAGAAACCTCTATTTAGCTCCCCCTTTTCTTTCACAATTAAACTAGTAACGCATATCATTGGCCGTTTTTACGCTAGAGATGTTAAAGTTGTCGAGACGTTTAAGTCCACTGGCGTAAAAACGGGACTCAAGAAAATAGACGATAATATTGAAAAAGACAGTTTGCGCAAAAAAAAAAAAGAAACTTAACGCTGTCTCTTCCCAGTCGTTTCTGAACGAGCGGGGAATAAATACAACCCAGTTTACGGCGTCCCGTTTTGACAAAAACAAAAAAGAGACGTTTGTTAAGTGAGACGTTAATAGGGAGCTTAAGCAACAAAAACAGCAACGGCTACGAAAACGTCATTTAAAACGTGAATTCGCGCTGCCTCAAACTTTATCACGCTTTAATATTCCATCTCGTTTCATATGTGGGCAAATTTTTTTGGAGTGATTTCTGAAGGACTGTATCAAAATTCAGGAAAAGAAAAAGAAAGGTATCGTCTTGTCTTTACGTCCTCGACAAAACGTGAAATTTATTTCACGTTGTAGTCGTGCAATGACGGCTAAAAAATGTACAAAAAAGCGTGATGCATGGCAAAGTTGTTGTTTTGCTAATCTAACCTATTGCCTTTTTGCCGTTCCCGTTGCCGTCGTCGTTGCTTAAGCTCCCTAATGTCGTCAGACGTTATCTGTCTTATTTGCCGTTTTTATACTAGACGTTTAAGTCTGGCATAAAAACGGCCATTGTCCGTATATTAAAACAACTTCTTAAAGGTAACAGGCCCTTCGAGTTCCAGACACCGTTCACTATCATAACGGGCCCAAGTGATAAACCTTACTCGTAAAATGAGTTTCATTTGCATAAGAATAAAAGTCATTTCCAAAACAAAGGCGTTGCACTTAGCCTCGGTTTAAAACAGAGGCTTGGGGAACCTTCGAAAAAGGGCCCGTTTCTAAAATGAAAAACCCAGGGCCGGGTTGTTTAATGCT